TTCTCTCTGCCAATATTTTGTCTTATTTTGTTTTTAAATGGTGAAATAAAGGTTAAGATTTCAGGCTTCTATCTTCAGGGACTTCTCTAAAAACAGTGAATAGTCTTAATTCCCCCAAAATGGAATGCCTAAATTAGATAAAAATCAATACCTTATTTCCCTTTTATTTTTCCTGAATAAGCTCTAGGCCCAACGTGGGGCTTGAACTCATGACCGCAAGATCAAGTCACATGCTCTATCAATTGAGCCAGCCAGGTGCTCCTATTTCCTATTCTTAACACTGGTTTTCAAGGAATAAAGTTTCTATTAGAAAAATACAACTTCATAGATTTGGTAAAGATCATTCTGAGGTAGTTTATAGAAGAATTGCCAATGTTAAACTCATTATTCACTCGTTACATAACAATCAGCAGCTGCATGTCTTCGTCAATGGTTTTTATGTGTGTAATTTAAGCCGTACATTGCCACAAAAAGAAAACAAAACTATGTAAGACTGCATAATTGACAAAACGATGTGGATTCCTGGGGGCTGGTGACCCAATACTTGACCCCACGACAGCACATGAGGGCGCTAAGGCTTGTTCCCTCTGCAAACACTGCGGAGTTCTCACATGGTTCTATTTTCGATGACAAAATATATGAATCCATACCTGTCTTAAAACATTACCAGAAAATATGCCATTGCTATCTTGAACAGGAATCCCCTGGACTGCCTTTGTGGATACCAGAGATTCCAAATCACCAGCTGGAAAATGGGCCTTTCCTGACTCCATAGTTTAATGATCTGGACAATCAGAATTTAGTACATTCACATCTACCCCTCCTAATACATTCCCCCACCACCGGTTGCTTGGTCTTTTTAAATATTGTTGGATTCTTGCTAAATGCTTTCTGCTTTCCTTGGCCACCAAATCTCATGAAAAAGTATTTTAAATGTGCTATGTCAGTTTTTCTACTCATGCTAACTTTTCAATATGCCCTAACATGGTTGCCGTACTCTTCTACTAACAATATTTTTGTTAACATAAACAGTGCTGTCTATGTCACTAAGTTCAGTGGATACTTTCAGTCAATTAATCACTCAGCAGCGTCTGGTTGGTCCCTTCCTCTTTGCTGAAGCATGCACGACAGCATGCTCTTCTGGTTTCCACTTGTTTCCCGGGTTCCTTGTCTTAGTGTCTTTTGCCAACCTCTACCTTACCTTTAAAAAGGTTGGTGTTCTTGGTGCACCTGGGTGGCTCAGTCAGTTAGGCATCCAAATCTTGGTTTTGGCTCAGTTGTCATCTCAGGGTCATGAGATCAAGCCCCGTGTCAGGCTCCTCACTCAGTGGGGAGTCTGCTTCAGACTCTCTCTCCCTTTCCTTTTGCTGCTCGTAAACACTCTCTCTCAAATAAATAAATACATCCTTTAAAAAATGTTTATGTTCTTTAAATGTTGAAGCCCTTTTTCCTTCTTATTGTACTTTCCCTCTGGTTATTTACCTCATTTACTCACAAGGTTTCAAATATCCTCTACAGGCTCTATTGATAGATTTCTATCTCCAGCCCAGACCTGTCTCCTAGGCGGAGTCCCTATGTCTCCCTGCTTATTTGACATTTCCATTTGTATAAAGCATTGGCATATTAAACTCGACAGGGCCAAATTGAACACTTGGTCTTATCCCAAACCCAAGCCATCTCGCCCACAAACCTGCTTCTTTGTGCATCCTCTAGCTCTCTAAGTGGCGCCACTATGTCCCCATTGCTCGAGTCAGAAATATGGGTATTATCCTTGATATGCCCCCCTACCCAACAGACTCAATCAATTACTAAGTCCTATTGATTTCGCCTCCTACATATTTCCCCAATCTGTTTACCTCTCTCTATCATCATTATCATCACTTGGAGTTCAAGCATCATCATCACCTAACTACTCCAGGAGCTCCCAATGGATCTTGCACAAACACTGTGGCTCTGCTCTAACACATGATCTACTCTGGAACTGGAATGCTATTTTTAAAAAATATTTATTTATTTATTTGAGAGAGAGAGCATGAGCAGGAGGGGCAGAGGGAGAAGGAGAAAGAATCTCTAGCAGACTCTGTGCTGAGTGTGGAGCCCGACACGGGGCTCAATCCCACGACCGTGAGATCACGACCTGAGCCAAAACCAAGAGTCAGACACTGTGCCACCCGGGCACCCCTGGAATGCTATTTTTTAAATGGATATTTGATCGCCTCATTCTTTAAAAAAATAAATATTCCTAAGTAAAAGGTCTGTAAGAAAAACTTAAAGGTCTGGCCCTCACCTACCTCTCCAACCTCATCATGTGTCATTCTTTCCCTTATTCTTTATGTTAAACACACAAGTTTCTTTCCTTCCTCAAAAGTCCTTTCTTCAATTTTACAGTCTTCTTTTCTCCAGAACAGGAGCTGGTGAACTTTTTTAGGAGAAGGCCAGACATTAAGTATTTCAGGCTTCGTGGGCCAATGGGTCACAGTCTCTGACTCCAGCGCTGAGCTATGGCACTGCAACGCAAGACGAGCCACAAACAGTACGTGGACAAATGAGCACCACTGCCCTCCTGAGCCTCGTACCGTGGGCTGTGGGCTGGGGCACGGTCGGCCATCTCCCGCTCTAGAAAGCTAGGCGTCCATATTCCGATGCTTACGGATTCACTTTGAGTATCATTTTTCTCATTGAAACTTTTCCTGAGCAGGTAAGTCCCCTTATTAAAGGTGCTTTTACCACAAAGTATATATCTCTTTATAGAACCAATTGTTACTGTAATTAAGTAGATATTTACGACATTATTTTGTCTATATCCACCTTCCCTATAAGGCTGTAAATTTCATGACACTGGGGACTATGTTTATTTTGCTATTTTATTCCCAGCATGTGGTGGAGAACACAGCAATCAATAAATATCTGTTGAATGAATGAATGATTAATTTGCTGCCTGGCCTTGAGTCGGCAACTGTAGCTTTCTGAGAGCCTCAGTTATTCATCTGGAAATGGATGATAGTAACAGTAACAGGAAATGGATGATAGTAAAAGTTATTTCCCCTTTGTTTCAAGGTAAGATAACATGGCTGAGTGCATTTTGTGGACTCTAATACAAATTTAAGGAAAAAAAATATTAGCAAAATGACTTGGTTGCCCAGTATGGGAAAAATTGCAGCCCAAACCAGGCCAAATTCTCTGGCTTGTTTTGTTGGCCCTCTAGCCATGAATAGTTTTGTTTTCTTAAAAGACTGTGAAATGTAAAAGCAAAACAAAGAAGACCTTGTGACAGAAACCACACGTGGCCCACAAAACCTAAGGTATTTTAGTCTGGCCTAGAACAGTGTCTGAGTCTAAGTAAATATTTTATTTTTTTAATTTAATTTAATTAATTTATTTAATTGACAGAGAGAGAGAGAGAGAGAGAGCGAGAGAGGGAACACAAGTAGGGGGAGTGGGAGAGGGAGAAGCAGGCTTCCCGCTGAGCAGGGAGCCCGATGCGGGGCTCCATCCCAGGACCCTGGGACCATGACCTGAGCCGAAGGCAGTCACTTAACCGACTGAGCCACCCAGGTGCCCCCTAAGTAAATATTTTAATGAGTAAATAAATGAATGATTAATTACCTCCCAATACACCCATATTTTAATATTTTGGTGGCTGAAAAGCAGTGCCATTTTCTGACTACCTTTCTTCCCTTCAATAGAGCAAGTGATTGAAATATATTTACCCCCTCCCCAAGGACTCTATGTTGACTTTAAATTTAAAAAACAAAATAAAAGGAGTCTATAAGCATTTTCATTTTCCTCTCAATTATGTCAACAATTGCTTTTGAAACAGAGAAGGTGTGGGGTGTCTGGGGAGCTGGATAGGAATGGGGGGGCTGGGAGCCAAGAGAACCCCTTCAAGCTTGCGGCGATGTTGTACACGTGATCATCACTGGAGTCCAAACCTACAGCAATCCATTCATTGTATGTTGTAAATACGTTTCTTTTCCCCCTGGGGAATCCATCATTATACAGAAATTTTAAGTGACACATTTATAGGAAATGAGAAGGGTCTGGGTTTGTTACAAAAGAACTGCACTTAAAAAGAAAAGGAATTTGGAGTCAAAAGGTCAAGATTCAAGTTTGAACTCTACCACTTCCTCAACCTGTCCCTCTGAGCAAATCCGTTAGGCTCTCTGAGCTTGCGTTTCTTCACCTAGAAAAAGGGAGCAAATATCATTGGCGCCATTTAGTAGGTGGCTAGTAGGAGCCAAGCGCTTGATGTATATTTGATCTTTATATCAAACCGCAAAGTGGCCATTATTAGCCCCAATATTAGATAAAGAAACTGATGCTCAGGGAGGTCACGTAAGTTGCTCCCAGTGACACCACTAGGAAGAACCAAAAGGTTTGGAGTTAAATTCTGTCTCCAGCAACACCATCAGTGCATATCTGATGAAGATATTTAACTTTCAGGGCACCTGGGTGGCTCAGTCAGTTAAGCATCTGACTCTGGTTTCGGTTCAGGTCATAATCTCATGGGTTGTGGGATCCAGCCCAGCGTCGGGCTCTGTGCTCAGTGGGGAGTCTGCTTGGGGATTCTCTCTCCCTCTCCCCACTCGAGCGTGCGTGCTCTAAGTAAATGAATAAATATATTTTAAAAAGATATTTAACCTTCTTAGCCTCTTATATGTTTTATCTTACAAAAAACACACGAAACCTAATTTCTATGACAGTCCTCCATATTACATCACCAACTTACACCTTAAAGGTAGATGGATTTCCTATAATGCTATTAAATCTAACTCTGTGTCTACAGAATAGTAAAGAGGAGATATACTCTCCCCTCTGTGTAGTATAAGGACAATCTAAGGGGAGAAAGCATAAATACTCAAGAGTATTAGATTTTGAGCACATCCCTCGCATGCCACAGTGGCCATGAATTCGGTTTATTCCACACCAATTCCCACTCTGATTTTGAACCAAGCACTTTCAATATACAGCATGTCAGTTGATTACTGAAGCTGTATTACCTCTGCTTCATTATCTCATGTAGTCTCCCGTGTTGGACACACTGCTCCTCCAATTCCACATTTCTCCTCTCTAACTTTTCCAGTTTGTCATGCGTATACCTTTTCTCTTGACTGAGTTGAGCTATTTCAGACCTAGAGAGGTGAAAACACAGAAATGAAAGATGTTAAAGTTCTTATTACTGGAGCACGTTTTTACCATTTAACATTAGCATTGTCTTAAACCCCATACTTAAAAATAACAGTGTAAATAAAAGTTATTTTATGTAAAATGGAATAATTCAGAAATTGCAAAATGTTTAGTGGAGGAATATATGCATTGCAGGGACTTAAGTGGCAGACAGAGAAAGGAAGAGTGACTTACTCTGAAAGAGATGGCTTCTTCCAGGACCGACAAAAAAATGATAATGATTCCTATTCATACCCAATATTTATTGAGTGCCTATTGCAGGCCAGCCACCATGCTGTTAAAGGAGCAATCCCAGGCCTAATCTCTATGACAGAGCGTTGTTTCTTTTAATTAACATAGCTAATGTAATGGCACATGATTAAAATCATATAGTTCCAAAAGGCATAATAATGAAAAATGGTGTACCTCTACCCACCCTCCCACCCCATCTCCAGTTTGTTAATGTAATTACTAATATTCCAGCATGTAGTTAAAGCAATAGCCATATTTATGTCATGTGACTACCTAAATATTGGTCCTTGCTGGCTCAGTAGCTTATCATGATCACATGTGCACTGGTGTACATTTATCGTCCCCCAATGAGGGCTTTGGTGTAGAGTGACGGAACGTCAAGCCATCTTTTCCAGTGGGAGATTTCTAATACCCCTATCTATCATTCTTCCTTCTGTGGCCATTCTGCTTCTCAAGAGAAGAATTCTCCAGCTCCCTGCTTGTTGGGTCTGACCCTAACTAGCAGTGGTTTAGGAGCTGGTGGGAAGTAGAGAGGTGGGGATCTCACCTTTCAGAATGCAGACTTCTTCCTATTAATTTCGTTGCTATTCTCAGTGCCCCTATTTTAACCAGAGCCTGCTGGTTCAATGTCTTCAGAGAGGAAGCCCCTAATCCGCTGGGTGGAGGAGGGACAGTCACTGGCTCCATGGGGCAGGGGGCAGAACTGTTAGTTTTGGTTTCGGTCCTATGCTTCACTTCTGCCTTCCGAGTTTTCCTGGCATCCCGAGAGTAGACGAGCTTGCTTCCCATGCGGGGGTCCCCTATGGAGACACATAAGATTCACCTTCTCCCACTTTGCCACCTCAGGTACTATTTACCCAATCTTTTTCCTGCCTTCACACATCTCATGTGGGATCACTGGTAGCTACTTTGGTGATGATGATTCGTGTCCCTCGGCAAATATGCTACCTCTTCAGTATCTTGGAGGATCACCTCAAGTCTCGAAATCCAAAGATCAGAAAGAGACCTCTCCAAGAAAAACCATAGTGCTGTCCTCGCTTTCATTCAGCATGGATCCTGTGGCCACCGCCTCCTCATGCTCCTCACAGGTACCGAAAGTTTAAGGCTCTTGCATATGAAAATGCGAGCAGTTAACAACTGGTTTGCTTCTTGAAGGTTAAGTAAGACACTTGATGCAGAATTATGACCCTCCAAAGAAAGGATTCCTCCATTAGGTGAGAGTTTTCTTCCTGGTCAAGGAGAGATGTGGATTTGCTCAGGGAACTCATCCCAAGGAACTCATCCCAAGTGACGGTGTCACTGTATGAAGCAATTTCTCACTTTCCATCCCCCTCATTCCTCGTTTTGTTTTCATCTTGGTTCCAGTGTCACCTCAAAGGAAGCTTGCCCTGATTAATACTTTGCAGTTCTCAATATGTCAGCATATTTTATGAAACTACCCCCAGCTTTTCTCCATATATTAGCTTACAATTTATTCCTCTGAACTGTGGCTCTATGCCTCATCTTTCTTACTAGATTATGCATGAGGGCAGGGATTATCTCATTTTTAAGCTCATATCAAGCACTCAGTCTACATTTGCTTCTCCTAATAAGAATTTACCTATATTTAAAATAGTCTAAATCAGTTAGTAATGATTTATGTTTCTCCTTTCAAAATCACATACAATATATAAGAATTTAAGGCAGTTATAAGAAATTGTTAATTGAGTGGTCTTCCAAGATTAGTATCTCCTATCACAACATGCACTATGCACTAAAATAAATTCCCAAAAGACAACAAGTATCCTTAAACCAGATTAGGAAAACACGCAGAAGAATATTTATCTGTTCTCAGGTAATTCCCCAGAAAAAAAGTCACTTTTTAAAAGAACAATCACAAAGGAAACATAGATTTTTACAATATAAGAATATGAAACCTTTACACACAAAAAGTTGTAATGCTCACAGCAGCATTCTTTCTAGAAGCAACCTTGTTCTGCAACCCAATATCTGGAAACTGAATCGGGAAATGTGTCAACAGAAGACTGGTTACATTACTTATACAAAGGTATATAAAGAGGCTATTCTGACAGTGAGGGCTATCTATTGGTGGCATTATTTATTGACCTAAAAATATGATATATTGGTAAGAAAGGAAAATATTTCAAAATCAGCATATAGTAACACCGTTTTATAATTAAAAAATACTTTCCCCTCCTCCCTTAAAAATACTTTGATGTGTATATTACATATTAATATGGATTATCTCTAGGTGTCAGAATTAGGAATTTTTTTAAATATATTTTCCTTTTCCATTTTTTTTGAATTTTTACAATAGACATATATTTAAGACAAAAAAATAAAGTCACTGAAGCTGAACCTACTGTGGTCATCATGTCATAATACATGTAAATCACACCATTATGCTGTACTTCTTAAACTTAGATGGTGATGCATTTCAATAATTTCTCAACAAACCCGGAAAAAAAATTTTGAAAGTCACTTTGATTTTGAAAAAAATTCATGAAAAACAAAAGGCACTGGGAACAAAATTTTCAAAATTAAAAAAAGAACTGAGAACACAGGAAAAATGAGACAAATGAAGAAGAGAAACATCCTTTAATAAAGTGCTATCCCACTCTCCATCAAAATCTAAACTAAAACCTATGAGGAATATGAAAAATATTCACAGAGGAAGAAATAGAAATGGTCAATTGACATTTATAAAATATTCAATTTCTACTATTATTCAAAAAAATGCACAACAAAACCAGATTCCGGTTGAGTATTTAGTGACGCGTGCCTACTTTCTGCCAGATAGCGTAATCCATCCTTTATATTAATGATCGAAATTAAATCTTCAAAGTAAGTGTTTATTTCCTTTTCTCTGTGAGGTAAATAGGTTTAATGACTTGCCTGAGGTCACCCAAGGGTGATTAGCCCAGCCCTGATACAAACACTCGCCTGCCCAACTCTAAAAGGGTTGTCCCACCCACTATGCCATACTGCCTCTCACTTCTTTTGTAAATCTCAACTCTTCGTGTCACATACTGATGTGGGTATACTGAGAATCTAGCGTAGTACTTGAGCGAAGTCATCCACATCAATAGCCTTAAAAGGGTTTATTATTATTGAAACAGAAAAAAGACAGGTCAGAATCTTTGGACCCGCAATCCTCTTTTAGGTATCTTGACTAAGGGAATCATCAAAAATTCAGAATAGTGGACAAAATTATTATTATATTATTCATAACAGTGAAAAACTGGAAACATCTTAAATGTCTAATGAATTATTATGCATATGAATGATTCAATTAAAATGGTTTCCAGAGTAGTGACGTAGACAAAATGTTCACCAGCAACAGTAAGTGAAAGCAGGATACAGATTGTACATACAGTGTCAGTCACCCACCAGGTGAATGTGTGTGTACAAACACACTTACATCCACACTCAAACTCACTGCCAGGAGATGCACTGCAGATGAACAATACTTCGCTGGATGGTAATGTCATAGGAAATTTTTTTCTTAATTTTTCTTTGTAGTTATAGCCAAATGCCCTATATTGGGGATGTCTTACATGACCACAAAAAGATAAATGTTATTTTGTAAAGTGTACATTACTATCAGGTATTTTATTGCTATGATATTTATTTCTGTTTTGCATATTTTGGGGTTTATAAACATAATGGTAATTTGCCTTCCAACTTGCAGTGTTTGATAAAAATTTGGCAAATGTCCATGGACATCACCATTTGTCTGTCCAGGGCCCACGATATATTGAAAGAACTAGTGGTTTGCAAAGTTTAGAGAGTAAACTTGAGCACCAGTCTCTGTGTTGGTTCCAGATTACGTTTGTGGCATTATTCCAGTGTCATATAAAAGAATAACTGACTCTAATCCATTTTTATAGAAAATTTAGGTAATTTCTGGCTTCACAGAAGCATGGACTTTTCCCTGCATTTTTATATACCAGTTATATTGTGTAATGGCATTTGCACGAAGTATAATATTTTACTACTACAATTAGGATTACAGTGATAATTGCTTTTTTAAGGGAAAAACCTGATGCCTTAATTTTTTAGGATTACAGTGATAATTGCTTTTTTAAGGGAAAAACCTGATGCCTTAATTTTTTATTCTTTTAGATTCTCACTTGACTTTTGGTGACAATTAGCAGAGGCCAGTATGAGTCTCTCCTTGTAGAATATAATTTTTGTAGCATCCCAATGTAACATTGTCTAAACATGAGGGTGAAAAAAATAGTTTAACCGGGTGTGTGTTCTTTACTTCAATTAAACTCACACAGTTGGATACTGACTGTTGCCAAAACAGTAATATAATTTATACATTATAGTCCACATAGTAAAACTACACTAAAAGTCATTTAACAATATTTATAACACCATAAAATACAGTGTTAAAATATATGAACTGCAATATGTACCAAAATTATAAAATTTGTTTCTCATCATCAGTGATTAAAACCAGGATCATTGCTCTAGCCTCAATACCCACAACCCTGGTGACAGATTAGAATTCAAATCTTAATGATCAATTTACAATTAACAAGATAGAAGTGAAACAAATTAAACCAACCATTATATATAACGAGACCCAATGGACTCCCATTGTTCCTCTTAATTACAAAACGCAAATCACAAATACACAATGGGCAGTGTTAGACATCAATCCACAAGCCTAGCAACCCAGAAAGTGACAATGACGGGGAAAGAAAGAAGAGACGCAAAACCAAAACCACCACGTAGACCGGGGTTCTGTGCTCGCTGCTAGCCTGGCTCTCCAACATGCGAGCGCCGAGGGGCTGCAACCCAGCCCGGGCTTGATCGCCCCCCTGCAGCTGGTAGAGGCTCCCTCCTCCCAGTGCCCAACACTTCTAAGCTCTTTCCAGGCCACGGTCCGAGCCCTGCAAACTGCACTGCAAACATTTTACTGCTGATTCATCCAAGCACCTGCGGAGAGGGAACACTTCCCTCACTTTGATAAAGAGAAATCACAGTTGCACCAAAGATATTTCAAGAGCTCCACTTACCACCCTCAAAAACAACCCTAGGACTTGTAGTAAGCTCCCGGGGTCCCGGGGAATAAAGACGAAAGGGAAGCTAAAGTTTATGAGAGCCTCAACTACAATCAGCCAGCTTGCTTGCCTGGTGCCAATTAAAAGCAAAATGGAATTAATTCTCCCGTCTCGTGGTCAGAAACCAGCTATATCAAATGCACAGAATCGGCAGTTCATTTTTCGTCTGAAAATGGGATGTGCCATTCACAAACCCTGAAGTTACAGACACCACCCAAGCAGTGTGGAATGCGCCGTGCAGAAAGTACCGCGCTGATCACTGGGGAGGGCTTACAGACAACAGGAGCTCAAGGAGCTGCCGTAATACCACACACGTTACTTGGGGAGAAAACACATGCAATAGGCACACTCGGAGGAACCATTTCTAAACACTTGCGCAGGGCAGCCTAGCCTAGCCTGAGGCTGGGGTAACGAGTCGGAGCCTCCAGCACGGTGAGCCCGGACTGTCAGCGCTCCTAGGGACGGCATGGGCTCTGGTCAAATGGCTAGATCTCTGAGTAAAAAATAAAGCTTATTATAAATGGTGTGAAGCCATTTGGTTAGTACGGGATTATAAATAATGTGGAACTCTTCGAGAAAATGTCCCGAGTAAGAAAAGGGGAACCACAGACATTGTTCTCGATTGTTGAGCAATACAAAATAAATATAATACCCACTTTTAAGAAAAATTTTACCCGTAGCACTCTGAGGACAATCTGCCTCAAAATTACCATGTGGTTTCATTATTGTGGAGACTGAACTTCCACAATGACAACACTTTAGAAAGCTCAGAAAACTCCAAGATTTTCCTCACCTCAAAGTGCAGGAAAAATCATTTATCCCCGAAGTTTAGTACAGGGTGTGCAGAGCTCCCAAAGGCTTCTATAGGGCTTCATAAATTTATAATCTTTATTTAAAAAGAAACACCCGGAGCCCTTCAAGTTATACAGGTGAATTCAAAGCAAACGGTAATGTCAAAATCAAATGATACATTTTGTACGAATTTTGAAAATGTCATCCTCATCATAGAGGGAGCCAGAGGGAAAAGAGACTCCATGGAGAAGAAATTAAGAGTCAACAACCAACCAACCTTAAAATCACAGTTTATTGTATGAGTGTGAGACACACAAAATGAATATTTTGTAAGCTTTGGGGGCTCTTAAAAGTTTTAACCATAATACGTAAAAATTTTTTGAGTGTTTACGATTGCCAGGCCTTGGTTTTGGATAAACTTGCAAAGTTACAGTAGATGACTATTTTAATTCTTCAGATTTACGAAACAGGCCATCTCAGAGCAGGACTCGAAACACAACCAGCCCCACAGTTTCCCGATCCTGCTTTGTTTGCCTTTACAAAAGTTTTTCTTGTGGTATAGACTTTATGTCTGTCAGAATAGCACTCAGACCCTCCCTGTAAAAGACAATAATAGCTAGATCGAAGTCAAATCCAAACTGCCCCGGTCAAGACCCTGAAAACAACGCCATCAGCTATGGTTCTACTTCCATGTGTCAAGCACCATGCGAGGCACTTTACATACGTGTGTATGTATATATGTGCACCGTATATCTCTCGGTGTTTCTCATCCCCACAACAATACTGCAACATGGTTTTAGAAACGTTTGAGGGGCGCCTGGGTGGTACAGTCGGTTAAGCACCGGACTCTTGTTTCAGCTCAGGTCATGATCTCAGGGTCGGGCTCTGTGCTGAGTGTGGAGCCTGCTTGAGATTCTCCCTATTTCTCGGCCCCTCCTGCCCCGCCTTCACATTTTCTCTCTAAATAAATAAATAAATAAAATACATTTAAAAATATACATATTTTATAGATGGAGAAGCTGAGGTTTGGAGGGATTAGGCAATGTACCCAAGGTCACGTAGCCAAGTGGCACAGCGAGATTCGAACCTAGTTCTTTCTGAATTCCAAAGTGGTTTTCACTGCACCCTGCCTGTCATCAACACAGGAACAGGTTGGGACCAGAGTCAGGTCAGGATACGAGGGGTAAAACCATACTTGTTTCATTCATTTAGTCAGTAAGTGTGTACTGAGTGCCAAGTATGTATCAGACAGACAGGAGCACGCTCAGTTGACAAAGCAGTGGTCAGAAACTGGAGGAACCCGAAGCAAGGGGAGGTGGAGAGGGGCTGAGGCTCAGTTTCCCTAGATCAGTACAGGGTACATGGATAGATCCAGAGCAGAAGAAAGAGGGCCCAGGACACAGGGCACAGGCTGACCCAGGTTCCCAGGCTTACCCTCACATGACAAGCATGTCTACTTCTCCATGGCAATTTAAAGAATATTTTTTTCTTTCCCAAACTTTCTCATCATAGCTGCTTTGGCCTGATTTTCTTTGGTAGTAGATGTACAAGAAAGATCACAGGCCTTGGAACTAGAAATATGTACAGTAGAACTCTAGCTCTCTTACTTCCCAGCTATTTAAACACTCTTGAGTATTGGTTTCCCCACATGTAAAAGAAGATAATAATTCCTGTCTTGGGGCGCCTGGGTGGCTCAGTCGTTAAGTGTCTGCCTTCGGCTCAGGTCATGATCTCAGGGTCCTGGGATCGAGCCCCGCATCGGGATCCGTGCTTGGCAGGAAGCCTGCTTCTCCCTCTCCCACTCCCCCTGCTTGTGTTCCCTCTCTTACTCTGTCTCTCTCTGTTAAATAAATAAATAAATAAAATATTTAAAAAAAATAATTCCTGTCTCAAGTTATAAGAATTAAATAATATATACCAAGCATAGAGTACCTCCTTCTCTTTTATACGCCACAATTTCCAGAATTGTCTCCTTAGAGAGCCAGATAATTAATAATCAATCACAAAGCAATCTTAAGATAACACAATCTTTTAAGTCCCAGATCAATGTAATTTTTTCCTTAAATTATATGATCCAGTTTTTTTTGTTTGTTTCTAACAAATTACTTAGTTCTGGGTTTATGTGAGGCAAATCAAGTATTTCTAGTTAGCAGTAGCTACTGTTGATGTATTATGAGGGTCTCTCCTGCAACAAAATCATTTGGGTTTCCTTGTCAAACTTCTTGAAAATATCTGGTATTTTGGCACCCTGAGCTTTCCTCTGCTCAAACTAGATCTTTAATGAGTATTTGCTAAGAAGGTGCACATGTCAGAGCACATTCTGGGAGCTTTATAGGAGCCTCCGTCTTCCTGTGAGCAGAAAGAACTGGATTCATCAGCCCTCTGATTCCCCAAAGGGTTCAGGGATAGGGATTCCAACGGCCAAGCCGCCTCACTGATGCAGGAACACGAGATAGGGCTCAGGGTGATCAGATACGCTCTGATTCTCTAGCAAATTCTTTCTGAACGAGATACCTAAGTCAGAAGTTTGTTTGCTGAGCCCCACTGCTTGCTCTGTGTAAATCTAAGTGAACTTCAGAAAAATACAGACGAGATCTACAGGTTATTTTTCCATCAGGCTGTATTTTAGTGGGACATCTGATATCTAGTTAGTGTATGTGAATAATGCCTTTTATAGTTCGATTCAAAGTGATTCTGTCCAATACCATTCATTTGTAAGAGGAAAGCACAGTTCAAGCAAGTCAAGTAAATTTGTCTGAGATTAGACAGTCACTCTCAGAGCTGAGATGAGAACTCAGGCTTCTTGTCATTTAGAGTATAAAATCATTCATTCATGGGAATAATCTGATTAGAAAATGTGCAGAAAATAATTCACGAAGATCCCAATCAATATATTTTATAAAAGAGCTCTGTACCTACAAAATGAAGGATAGCTGTTCTAATAAAACAAATCAATTTTAGGAGAACAAAAGGATGGTTTGGGTTTATTTATTTTCAAGTACCACCTACTTTCATTTTTATAGATACACATTTCATCTATTATCATTTGACTTAAAGATAGTTTCTGGGTGTTCGTGGAGAACTGTGATGACAGATTAAAATGTTAACTCTATCGACGGAAGACTTTAAAACTGCTTGATTTATCTGAATCCTTTATTAAAATACTTGCCATCTTGATCTTTGTGTTCTGAAGTTTCATAACTGTCTGTTCTGAACGTTAAAAAGGTCAAATAATAGTACGTATACATAATCATGAAAAAAAAAACCACCAAGGGGTCTGTATGGACAATTTAGAAAACATACATATTAAGAAACTGTCCATACAGAGGAAATATTTTCACAGGAAATGGGTCAACACATACCTAATTTTGATATTAGCCTCAAATAGTGGAAACGCTGTTTTTTAAGAAAAAATGACAGTATTCACACAAACAGTGCTCTGAAAGTATCATATAATATTACCTACCTGCTTTTTTTAGAGATTTGCTCCAGCTTCTTGGCTAATGCACAGCACTCGTCCTTTAACTTTGTCAAAAATGTATTCTGGGAGGTCAGCAATGAATTCTGTTCATTTTCTAGAAATAACAATAACCCCCCCCCACCAATATAAGATGTTTATGGTTGTAACTCTTCAGGGCTTCCATATGTAGACCGGTAAAAGTGCTAAAACCACTACCCCCTTCCTATAAGCCACCAGGTCAATTTCAGTGTCCAAAGTCAAAGTACTACTCACCTGGCAAGATACTAAATCTTGGGAGGCATTAATTTTTCTAATAATTACACCCCAGAAACAGTTTTGATCATACCAGCTTGGCGTAATGGTTTAACGTGTTGATAAACTGTCAGATTATCTCAAGGGGAGCCATGGATGCTTATATCTTTGTAATATGCAAGATATTACATTTTTATTTTGACAATTTCACTATAAACAGTGTCGAGAATGATCACAACTAGATAATTCACAACAAAAATAACGGAGGAACTCTCTTCTATACTGTAATTCATGCTTTATGTTTTGTATTTGCCCACATATCTCACTATCCCTACCCCTTGTGTACACTTCTTTCATTATGAAGGTGAAGTACATAATTTTCCCTAGAATCTGGATTTCATTGTCAACAGTATGAGTTTCACTAAAGATCTGGTCAAAGGAATTGAAGAGAGTATGGTATTTTTGCACAAAATAAAAGGAAGTGTTCTTAAGATGGTCTTAACCATTAAATCCCCTCACGTAGCACTCAGAGATTCTGTCCAAGACTCCTTGATCACTAGGATCCTGCAAGCAGGAGGGGCAAACACTAATTTTTCCTGGAATTGCCTCCTTTTATTTTTAGTGGAAAAACATCTACTGAGTCTGGAAAAATGCTGGAGGGTATCATGTGGGTCAGTATGATATTTGCCTCTTCATAAGCAAATAGATGATTTAATGAATTTTACATTTCCATTTTTCACCTATAGGATGAACAATCATTTTTTACCCTGTCATCAAACAGAGTGTACACGAGATCATGTGAAAATTATCTTTAAGTGTCAGGCTTAATAATCCCTCTATTTCTTCCCGATTTTAGCCACTGACTGGCAAAAAGCACATAGCATACAAAGCAAAATAAATCAAGGCACCAAAAATTAAGCAACACTTTTCTGGAAGAGACAGGATCAATTAAACTTTTGTTTTAATAGTCCAATCAGCTCAGAGTATGTGGTGTGGAATTATAATGACTGACATGGTCTTGTTTTGACTAACACTGTCTGTGAACACACAACTCACAAGTGAAAGGAGCTACAGAATGCTCAGGCTGAGTTCAGCATCAAACTGCCTGCTTTGAACAAAAGTGCATTTTACTTTCAAATTAAAGGTAAAGAGTTACTGGCCAACTCTGTCTGCAAAACGGCACCGATGTGATGAAAGATGGCAGTTTTTAGCCACACTGACAGCTGTGGCCAGTGCCTTGTATTAGGGAATTTTCACAGCAGTTTGAGAACTTGAAGAATGCAAAGGATTAAACATCACTCTAGATTGGGCTGGGGGAGGTGGCGAAATCATACAAATGCTAAAAATGTTCGAAGCTGCAAAGATTAAATAAAGGAACATATCAATTTGGAGCCACTGAATTACATCCAGCTGCGACAGTGAATTAAGAACCGATTAATGGCTAAAGCTTTTCTCCAGTTTGGATGCTGAAGCAAACTCATTAGGCTTTTAGAGTAGCTATAATGTGTGTACTGTGGGAACTGTTCAGTGCTATTCAGGAGACTCTAACTGTAAGCTCAGAGCATTTCCCGCAGAGCTTCTGATGCTATTTTTTTATATAACATGTGTGCCTGAAAACCCAGCCAAAAACAAGCCCTTTGTTTTTCTACTTTGTTGTGGTCTCTCTCAGCTTTACGTTTCTTGAACACAGGTAAATAAACTCATAATCCAGATGGTGCAACAGATGTGAGAGCAGTTCCTGAAATCAACAGACAGTGGGCAATACTTCCCATTTTCTCTTTTAAACGCTAACTAATATGTAATTCGGAATCTCCGGTGTAGTTAGCATCTGCTCCCTTCGGCCAGCCAAAGGTTACAGGTGTTCCTGATGTCATTTCACAGTAAGGCGTGGGCCTGGCTTGTGAGCCAGGGCCCAGGCTCTAATCTTTCCCTACCACCTACCAGTTTTGTCATGCTGGGCCTCCATTTGCTGTATCTTCTGTGTCAGCTCCTGTTCTCTTTGCTGGGCCTGAAGGGCTTGGGCCTTTGCTTCGTTGCTAAAGCTCTGCTGAATGCTATCTTTTTCCAGTCTACAAAGCAGAGAGGAGACGGACAGAAATGTAATCTACAGATGCACCAAGCCCCACCATTTCCCCTACAGACCAGAGAGGGCTGATACCTAGTAAATTGTGAAGCAGAAGAGGACAGCCTGTCAGACCCCCTCCCCCCTTCCCCCTCCCCCTTCCCGGCCCCCCCTCCTCCCCCCCTCCCCCTCCCACCCTGGCCCCCTGGGGGGCAGAGCCAAGGGGCCTTTCATGCTGTGTTTAATACATATCATAAATCGAAATGGACTAAAGTATACAACTTTAAAAATCAAAAAATCATGACAGCTGAATATTGATATTTTGTAACCTGAAAACACAAACCTCCTTTCCGGTAAGGCTGTCAACGTTCTGGGCCACCATTTCATGTTTTATCTTTTGAATGGTCAATATTTCCTACAAATCTTGCGGTCCTACGAATGGCATGATTCAATACACCGAAACTTAAATTCTTGAAACTCAGCTTTGTAGACCACCTCTGCTTTTCCTCCCCAACTTAAAATGGAACCTCAGATAGAATGTAGGAGATCCTATCCAGAAGCAAGGAAATGATTCTGCATGTTTTCGTTAAACATTTCTGCACATTAGGCCACGTAACGGGAATATAAATATGAATATGAAAATGAAAAATTTCCCCAGCACGTCAGAATAAGATCTCTTTTGCGTCATGCTGAGAGAAGTTGCACAATCAGAATATTCCGTCGTCCAAGACAACGTCGCAGCCCGTGGTGATGGGATACTGACCCAGTGAGATGGGTCATCCCGCTGGGTCCCTAGCCCATCACAGTGGCTCCTACAGAAAGAAACTGCCTAAACAATTAGAAGCCGAGGCAGCGATACTGATACTGCAGACACACATCAGGTTGGTTCCTCATACTCTGAATATAGGTAAGTGGAATGAGGGTTTCCTTTAATTAACTAATTTAGTTATGTCTAACTCCTAATCTCCTTGTGGGCATTTCTCATCCGTGCTGTTTTAGTTTACTAATTGAGATATTTACTGCCTTGCCTTTGCCAAACCAAAAATAAACAATTCCATAAAGCTATCACTAGTAGTCTACATACCGCTGTGGAGCTTCGATTCATTGGCTTCTAATTATAAAGCAACATAAGGAAAGTCTGTATTGAAATTGGTCAATGCATGTGGTAATGCTGCCGTGTAAAATTTCAGGAGGAAACTATACCCATACCTCACTCAAATGGAATCATCAGGAGTCCACGATAAATGTGAAATAAGGTCCCTTCTGGTGCTTCTAATAACAACACCCCCTTGGACCTGCTCCAAGGTCTTCCCTCACACTAAGTTCCAAACTGGTGTATTGCAACAAATAGATACACTAGGCCACTTTTTGCCTCCCCAGTCACACCATGCATCTTCTGCCCATGGATCACTGCATATGTCTCTTTTGTTTTCCTGGGATGGCTCCCCCTCTGCATCCTGTTCCACACCCCCCCACACTCACCCCCACCCCTCTCCCTCTGCTCAGCGTATACTTCTCCTTTAAGGTCTGCTCAACATTCTCCCCTCTCCTTCCATTCTCTCCTAAATTAAGTATTCTTTCCTTAATATAGGTTGTAAATGGATACGTCCCACTAAGATGGCATTTATCACACTTGACTTACTGCTTCTTGTCATCTTTGTCTCTCTAAATCCGGAGCCCGGCTCAGGATTGGTACATAAGAAGCAGGCAGTGAATGCTTAATGAATAGATGTTCTTAGACCCTCGCCATGGGGCAAGGGAGGATGCAGTCTTCAGTGAGGCTGGAGAATCTGCTCAAAGCTAGTTTGAGGAGGCAAAAAGTTTTCAGACATTTCAAAAGGAAGAGTGCCTGGAAGAGAGAAGCTGCAGTGACTTCACCAGCTAGAAACCGTGCTGCTGAAGGAATCAGCCTAAAGAGACTGTGGACTCTTCCACTGAGGAAGCACCCCAATGTCAGGCCCCTGGTTACAGGCACAGAGATGTGAGGCTCTGAGATCACTAATAACTGGGTAGCCTTACAACACACTGCTCAAAACCAATATCCACTTGAGAGTGAAAAGGAGTGCTACTGATAGTCATACCAGGACAACAGCCATGACTGGGGCTACCCTTTGCCAACCCGGGCTATGGTTCTCCTACATAAAGGGGTTGCCAGGCTCAACATCAATTTTTAGCACGAGAAGCTGCCTAATAACGGGTATTCTAAATTTACTATAGAAAAAATAACTACTGTTAGTAGTTCTCCTTAAAAAATAAGACAATTTAAAAGAATGCACTACTGAGGCACCTGGGTGGTTCGGTAGGTTAAGCGTCTGTCTTCGGCTATCCCGGGGTCCTGAGATCAGGCCCCTCACTGGGGTCCCTGCTCACCAGGGAGCCTGCTTCTCCCTGTCCTTCTGCTCCTCCCCCCCACTTGTGCACAAGCTCTCTCACTCTCTCAAATAAATAAATAAAATCTAAAAAAAAACCAATGCTCTACCAACAAATGTTGACTTAAACAACAAGTTTTGTTTCTTGAATCCTTCTCCAATTTTTACTCTATTTTAGAAACTACATGTTATTTTATAATTTTTAATTGAGGTATAATTGACATATAACATATTAGTTTCAGGTGTACAACATAATGGTTCGGTATCTGTACGAAGTACGAAATGGTCGCCACAAGTCTAGTTAACGTTTTTTTTCCATTGCATAAAAACACAGCTTATCTTTACTTTCCTATTTCCTCCCTCCAGCCCCCTTTCCTCCCGTGTTGCCTTCTCCCTTTGCAGGTTCTTTCTGACTTAGTAGGCTTTTTATAAAACCTTAGAATGTTAGAACTGAAAGGGAATCTCAAATCTGCTTAATCAAATCCTCTCACATTATAGCCGAAAAAAGAAATAGGCTTGAAGGTTACATTGTAAGTGATGTGAAGGCAGAGGTGGGACTTGAAATATTCTGATTTAGGGAAACCTATTTTATGGCACTCTAGAGGTAATGCAATCATGGATTGAAAGAATTAATAAAAACCACTTATGTGTCCAAGGGAGGGATTAGAGAAGAATCCAAATCAATTCATTTAATATTTATCATAACTCTATAACTCTATTATGTAAAAGACACTCTGCTAGGCACTGAGTCAAATAGAGATAAATGTGGCATAGTCCTTGCTCCCAACAGGGACTTCAAAATGGCTAAAATAAGAAGTAGAAGGTGGAATACACCAAAAGAAATCTACCAAATTTGGGAAAACTACCAAAGCAAAGAAAAATGAGAGGTCCGTCCCAGCTGGGTGTGAGAGTGTCATGAAGGGTGGCTGAGCTAGTCTTCCCCAACTGGGTTTCTTTCAGTTCTCACTCAGAACACTGATGATTTCATTTAATCAAACTTTTAGTTAGCCATATTTTATAAACTGGAATAAAAGAAATGGCAGTAAAGAAGAATTTCTTGGTTGTGATTCAAATGAGGCTGAAAGATTTAGACATAATTGCTAAAAACTAGAAACAGTCAAGGGGCGCCTGGGTGGCTCAGTAGGTTAAGCGTCTGCCTTCGGCTCAGGTCATGATCCCGGAGTCCTGGGATCGAGCTCCGCATAGGGCTCCCTGCTCAGCAGGAAGCCTGCTTCTCTCTCCCCCACTCCCCCTGCTTGTGCTCTCCCTCTCTCTCTCTCTGTCAAATAAATAAATAAAATCTTAAAGAAAAAAAAGCTGGAAACAATCTAAATGCCCATTAACTGCTAAATGGATAAAGAAACTGTGGTGTCACCTTACAGGGATACTAGGAATAGTAAGAATAAAAAGGAACAAGCTACTGTAAGTAAAACACATGGATGAGCCTCAAAAGCAGTATGCTTAGTTAAAAAAGCCAGACGCTACAAACATATTGTATGCTTTCATTTACATGACGTTCTAGAAAAGTAAATACTAGAGTGACACGTGAGTGCCACCAGGACCTAAGAACAGGAGGTGTGTGTGAGGGAACAAAGGGGCATGAGGGACATTTGGGGTTGACAGAAGTGTTCTCTGTCAGGATTATAATGGTTCCACCTCTGTATATATTTGTCAAAATATTTTTCATTGCACATCTAAAATTGGTGATTTTTATTATATTTAAATTTACCTCCATAGAGCTGATTTTAAAAGGGAGAAACTGCACTAGAATAGGAACATCTACCTTCTTCTCCAAGTTATTCACAATCACCGGTGGCCACATGTGGGCATGTCCATGTTTTCTTGATGATAATTAAGAGTTAAAGGAAGTACACAAGCACTGGATAGTCCTCAAACATGGACCAAGCACACATAGAGGTTTTGTCACTCCTTTTTTCCAATTACAGTTGATTATATTCTCTAAAAATGTCTGCAATGATACTTACCATCCCATTAAAGAAATGGACTGAAGAATTCACTTTGTTTTTCATCCTCAACTTTTCTATATCATTTATTATTTTAAATCCTGCTATTTTAAAAATATTCATGTCACAGAGCAAAAATGATTTATTAGATTTTTTTTAAGGACATTCTAAATTTTATAGCAACATTGAAGGAGTAAAAGTTTCTGATGGTCCTAAAGTTCATTGATGAGTCTGAGACAGAAATGATGAAAGCTTCAAGTCTAACCTGAGCATGGGGCCTGTAGTGGCAGTGATTTGAGGCACCAATCCTGTCACCTGTTCATTGAGGGCTGAAGCTGTGGTATTAAACATATAACCCTGTGGTTAAATGGCATTTCCCTTCTAAAGTACAATACAGAGAGCTTTGTGACAGTAGAATATTGGTAAAAGTTATGAGACCCTTTATAACATGCTGACTAGCCGAGAGCCATTCCTGATGGAATTATAGAGAAAAAAAGCAGGGAGGTATGGGTGTCACTGTGAGTTAAGACACATGACGTCCTTGTTCCCAACATTGGCGACATTATCTTTGATCACTTGGTTAATGTGCTGTAAGAAAGGGCTTTCCTTTCTCTCCCATTATTAATTCACTGATATCAGCATGGAGTTATGGATTCTTATTTTACTCAGTGGGC